TAGCAACAACACAATAAGTAACAGCCCATTCGGGTAAAAAAAATATTTAAACACAATTATTAAAAGTATAAGGCTTGCCGGGCATTGGTGGTGCACGCCTTTAATCCCAGCACTCGGGAGGCAGAGGCAGGCAGATCTCTGTGAGTTCGAGGCCAGCCTGGTCTACAGAGCAAGTGCCAGGATAGGCACTTGCCCTGTCTCGAAAAACCAAAAAAAAAAAAAAAAATAAGGCTCATATGAACCTCATAATCAGAAAAAATAGAGTGGAATGGTAACAGTGAGTGAACAAAGCTATGTAAAAGGCTAAAACCAGGAGGGGAAATTCATAGCTGAACCAGCATGCCTTATTAGACAAGAAGAAGGAAAGGCTATTACAAATCCATAGGAAGATGAAAAAATAAAAACTGAGTAAACAAATATAACTTAAATCTAGGAACGAGGCACATTAATTTCACCTTCAGAAAGAAATGTCTTCATGTCAGGCCAGTGGCTCCGTGGGTGGGAGAGGCCTGCTCCCAAACCTGATGACCCGAGTTCATTCCCTGGGCCCCACATGGAGGAGGACGAGAGCTGACCCCACAGGTTGCTTTCTGGCCTCCACATGCGTGACTTGTCTGCTCGTGTGCACCCCAGTAAATAACTGGATGAAAAAATAAATATTTAAAAATCTTAATAAAAGTCTTCAGTGTCTTTTGGGGGGGAGAAAAGATAAAAACATCTGCAATGTTTTATTTCTTTGAACAAAAATATGTAATTTGTACCCATAAATTATAACACAATTTTCATTGAACTATAATCCACACGCCGTATAATTTGGTAATATCAAATGGACAATCCACGGATGTTTTAGTATATTGACCAAGTTGTACAACCATTACATAGTCACCTTCAGGAAAATTTATGTTAATATTCAGACATCTGTACTGGCCTGTCCTTGGGGTTCTGACAGGATTCGCCCTCAGCTGCAGCCACTGAGAGCACCACCTGTGCACAATCACTGTGTTCCCTTTTAAAAGGGCCCTTTCTCTCTCTCTCTCTCTCTCTCTCTCTCTCTCTCTCTCTCTCTCTCTCTGTGTGTGTGTGTGTGTCCTCTCTGTCTCTCTCTGTGTGTCTCTCTCTGTGTCTCTCTGTCTCTGTCTCTCTCTCTCTCTCTGTGTGTGTGTGTGTGTGTGTCCTCTCTGTCTCTCTCTCTGTGTCTCTCTCTGTGTCTCTCTGTCTCTCTCTCTCTCTGTGTGTGTGTGTGTCCTCTCTGTCTCTCTCTCTGTGTCTCTCTGTCTCTGTCTCTCTCTGTGTGTGTGTGTCCTCTCTGTCTCTCTCTGTGTGTCTCTGTCTCTGTCTCTGTCTCTCTCTCTCTCTCTGTGTGTGTGTGTGTGTCCTCTCTGTCTCTCTCTCTGTGTCTCTCTGTCTCTGCCTCTCTCTTTGTGTGTTTGTCCTCTCTGTCTCTCTCTCTCTGTCTCTCTGTCTCTGTCTCTCTCTCTCTCTCTCTCTCTGTGTGTGTGTGTCTCTCTCTCTGTCTCTATGTGTCTCTGTCTCTGTCTCTGTCTCTCTCTGTGTGTGTCTCTCTCTCTCTCTCTGTGTGTGTGTGTGTGTGCTCTCTCTGTCTCTCTCTGTGTGTGTCTCTCTCTCTCTCTCTCTCTGTCTCTCTCTCTCTCTCTCTCTGTCTCTCTCTCTCTCTCTCTCTGTCTCTCTCTCTCTCTCTCTCTGTCTCTCTCTCTCTCTCTCTCTGTCTCTCTCTCTCTCTCTCTCTGTCTCTCTCTCTCTCTCTCTCTGTCTCTCTCTCTCTCTCTCTCTGTCTCTCTCTCTCTCTCTCTCTGTCTCTCTCTCTCTCTCTCTCTGTCTCTCTCTCTCTCTCTCTCTGTCTCTCTCTCTCTCTCTCTCTGTCTCTCTCTCTCTCTCTCTCTGTCTCTCTCTCTCTCTCTCTCTGTCTCTCTCTCTCTCTCTCTCTGTCTCTCTCTCTCTCTCTCTCTGTCTCTCTCTCTCTCTCTCTCTGTCTCTCTCTCTCTCTCTCTCTGTCTCTCTCTCTCTCTCTCTCTGTCTCTCTCTCTCTCTCTCTCTGTCTCTCTCTCTCTCTCTCTCTGTCTCTCTCTCTCTCTCTCTCTGTCTCTCTCTCTCTCTCTCTCTGTCTCTCTCTCTCTCTCTCTCTGTCTCTCTCTCTCTCTCTCTCTGTCTCTCTCTCTGTCTCTCTGTCTCTCTCTCTCTCTCTCTCTCTTTCTCCCTTCCCTCCCCCCTCTCCCTCTGTTCCTTTCTCTCTCTGCTTAGATGCCTGTCTCTCTGTCTCCTGCCCCTCTGCCTCTCTTTTCTCTTCTGCTGCTCCTGTCCCCAGAGGCCAGTCTCCCCCTCCCGTTCCCCTTTTCCCATTTCCTTTCTCCTAATTAAAAAAAAAAATACAAATACAAAAACAAAAAAAACCTTCACACGAGCTCTGTCACACAGCGACTTTCTCTTGCCAGCACCATTTTTAAAATTACAACACTGTCACCTTACAAAAAGCCCCTCCCACCGCCGTTCCAACTGCATTCTTCCCAGGTAGAACTTGAAAATTCACCCACTCTACAGCATCTCGGCGGAGTCCTTTTGTGGCTGCGCAATATCTCATTGTATGGTCACGCCAGGGTTTGCTCACTCACTCACTCATCAGTCAGCAAAACCTGAGTCATGTCCACTTCCGAGGAGTGGGAATCGTGCCACAGGGGGCATTTCTACAAGCCTTTAAGTAAGCATGCTTCCACACTGTAACAAATGGAAACTCCGTGTTTTTTAAAAATTGTCAAAGTGTGGCCCAAAGCGGTTGTATCATTTTGCCTTCCTACCAGTGGTATGTAAAGGTCCTCATGTATCTTGTCCTTGCCAACACGTGTTTGTCATTGTCTCACTTTTGTTTGTAGCCATCTTGCTTGGTGTGCAGTGGTATAGCATTTGTGGGTTTGGTTAAGTCTTCTTCGGAAAAACCTACTCCAATCTGGTGCGTTTATGGCCTTATGGTTGAATTATAGGAGTTTTTAATGCACTGTCCTGTGTATTAAGCCCTACCCAGGTAAGGATTTATAAGTTATACCCCCCCCCACTCCTGATGTTTGCCTCTTCAGTGTGTTGATAGACTTATCTGAGGAACCGGAGGTTTTGATTTGAGGGCTGGGCACCTAGCTCTGAAGCAATGTTTGCCTCACAGATGAACAAAAACAGGGATGGTCACCACAGAAAAACAAAAAACAACAAGTTTCTATCTTGATGAAGTCCAACTTGTGTACATTCCGTATTTTATTGTATAAGATTTTGCTGTCACATCCAAGAAACCCTTGCCAAATCTGGCCACCAATTTTAAAACTCCCAGCCCTATGTCTTTTGAATGGTTCATTAAGTGATTTAAAGGATTTTGGAGTCGGCTATTTCTCTTCGGCAATTTACTTTTATAGCTATGGAAGATTTTCATAATTATACGTTCAATGCCAACTTTCTTTTGATTCTTTGTTTTCCTAATTATTGCCAAATGCATTAGATTGTAAGGGGGAAAAAAGCATGGAAATAGTACATTGTGTTGTGATACAAGCATTCCCCATGAGCCATAGTGAGCAAAATTACTGCCAAGTGCCTTTATTAGAAACAAAATCTTAACTGATTAGAGACCGTGTTATATATCAACTGTAAAATGAGTTTTCAACTTCCCTGCTTCATTTTTTAAGTACAAATTTTTTACTTTGGCTTGGGTAATAGAACTCTAAAACTTCAAAGACACTTTGCATCTGCAAAGGAGGAATTGTGCCTGCGATGTTCACTGGAAATTCAAGTAGCTCTTTGGAATTTGAAGCTAGCTGGACATTACATTCTGCAGAGAAAGAGACGCTGTCTGTATCATTGCTAGTTTAAACTTACGAATTTTTACGCGTTTGTACCTGGATGAGAGTATCAAGTACATTCCCTCTCTCTCTGTCTCTGTCTCTGTCTCTGTCTCT